CTACAGAATCCTCTTGTAAGTTTGTCTCCCTTCATTGTGGAACACAATTGTCCTGGCAGTATCTAACAGATCTTGAGGCAAAATTTATGCATCTGTGTTACAAAGAAATGGCAAAAAGCTTAATTTCCTCACCCCCTTAATTTTCCATTACTCAGAACACAACTAAGTTATAAATAAGTTTCTAGAACATTCACTGACTCACATAAAAAGATCAGAGGAAAAAAAGTTTCTTCATGATTCTAAAGACTGTCAATGAGAAACTTTCCACACAGAAGGGGAAAAAATGACTGAGAAAAAAATTATATGTATAACATTGTTATTTTTCAGCTGGGCCAACTATATAAGCAATTAGTAAGCTGTTCGTTTCTCTGCTGTGCATTTATTCAAGTCCAGCAGTATCTATTGAAACCTTTAGATCTAATATTGGAACTTAAGATTGCTTTCCTAGCCTTTTGATTTTCTATTATCCAGAATTCCACCAGCTGATTATTAGTCTTCTGGGAATTTGAAATGCCCCTGATCAGAAAAACTTGAACTAGGAAATTTAGCAATAGAAAAACATGAATGGGAGAGGAAACAAGAAGGGGATATAAGAAATCTCCTTGCTTGTCTTGTTGGATCATGTCCTCACATGTAAGTCTGTTCATTTCACTCTCTCCCACAGGGCTTGACTGGCCTTTAGTGGTGGGATTGGGGTTGGTGGGGAGCGAGCCTGAGAGTCTTTATCTAACCATATTGGCATGCAAAGGGTTTTAGGTATGCCATGGCCTTTGCTATCTCATTTTCAAAACTCCTCTGGGTTATTAATAAGTACTAGAAAGTTCTAACACTGGTGGTTATAAAAAAGTAAAGCAGAAATAAAAAACGTTTAAAGTTATAAAGACATTAAACAAGACACTGACTACAGAAAAGAAAAAAAATGCTGGGAGAAAAGAGGGAATATGAAGTCCGTATAACTATTTCTCCTTCCCTATTTCCTTGCCTAGTCTGTTCCTCCACATTTGAATCCCAGGATATCTAAGAAGAAAGTTTTCTATCTACATAGGATCTGGGTCTCGAAGTTGCTATTTCCTTGATGTCAAGCTTTCACATCACCTGTAATTCTCTCAGTTGTTTAGTAATTGGGGAGGGGGGTGGTAGCAAATTCTGCTGACTTACCTTGAAAATAAAGACCAAATGAGAAAGTTTGACAGCAGTTTAAAATGACATGTTAACAGATACTTCACACACACACACAAAAACAAAACAAAACAAAACAAAACGAATTGAACAAGGAAGAAAGGAAAGAGAAGTAAGTTTCTCTGTTGTATTTATCAATTGGTTCAATTTAACTTGCCTGCACTGAGTTCATGTTTCCACCTGAACTTTCCTAATTTAGCAATTAAACATAGCCAGTAAAGTTGTGTTTAAATCTCCTTCAGTGCTGGGAGTTCCGGGCTTGGGATGTGTACCACTGTAACAACTTACCCTTCTGTTATCAAAATTCCATGAAGTTATTACTGATTTTTTGGAAAGTTCAAACTCTGTCAATCACATCAAAAGTAAATAAATATTTTTTAAAAACGTGTTCCCTATTGAAGTCTCTAAATAGAAAGTAAAAAGGAGTGGGGGAAAAAAAAGCATTGCTAAAATATCAATACATTTCTGTTTTTCAGCTAGTCCACCTTCAGGGTCCAGTGGTAAGCTCACTTTGCTTTTCTACAATTTTCTGTTGCTCTTGTTCTCTACGAGACTGAGGGACCTGTCCCTGTCCTGCTCACGTCTCACTCTGTGTGCAGAAACTCAAGGCTTCAACTTCCCTTTGCCTTCTGTTCATTCAGCTCTTCCTTCTGAAGGAAGCTTACAGTTACTTAATTTCAAATACCTATTTACTTAGCACATCCTGTAAGAACTATAGAGCTGCTTTAATTACATTATCCCATTTAATCCTTAGAGTAACATCATCAACCCTTTTTAAGGACGAGGCCAAATACTTGCCTAAGAATGTTTGGTTATTAAACCATAATTTGAACCTAAAACTGTGTTATTACTAAGCTTCTCTCCTTACATAAATATGTCTCCCTAAAAGGAACCTTGCTCCTTTCAAACAAATCTCCACTGATATCTAATTTGGTTTTCTTTTAGGTTTGCCCCTGGCACCCATAAGTAAGTGTTTCATCTTCTTTCTGCTTGGGCTCTCTGTGACTCCCTTCAATTCATTCCTGTTAAGTTATTTGACTTTCTTAGTCCTCTATTTCATCCTTTTTGCCCAGATCCCCCTAGATTATAGGTCATTTAAGAAAATATTGATTAAAAGAAGTACTATGCTAGTATTTCTTTTTTTAAAATAGTTGAAATAATGGATGAAAGTTTATAAGTAAATTCAAGAACTGTCACTGAAAGACTTCTTTAAATCTCTTCAACTCATAAAATTTGTCAACATTTGATGTACTTATATAATTTTAAGGCAAACTCTATTTATGGTCAATTCATACTTTCTCCACATTGAACTTCTAAGCTAGTATTTCAGTAAAAAACTAAAGGATAGCATAAAATAACAGAAGTAGGCCTAATTTTTGAGAAAGAGGTAAATCCACAATGTAGTGATGTTCAAATGGAAAAAGACCTTGAGCATTCATTCCCTCAAAGACTGCAGAACTATTCAGAGGAAACAGAAGGATCCAGTGGTCGCTACTTAGGGCTAGACCCAAGGTTGTCTAGGTCCCGTAAATGAAGAGGACTTCTACGGGAATCCTACCTTTCACCTCACCGTTGCATCATTACTGCTTAATCTCACATCTAAGTCTGCACCGCAGCTAATCTTTAGGGTCATCTAGGACGCGTCCCTCTTACCTCACCCAAACCCTCCACTCACAGACATCAGAAAAATATACTAGATAATGTATGTTTTTTTTCTAGTTAAGAAAAATTAAATGGACTTTATTTATTTATTTGTTTTTTTAGTGATTTCCCAGAGAACCACAAGTAAGTTCTTTATTTCTCAGCTGGTTATATGTGGAGCCTCTTTCTTATATTAGATGTTTCTAAGTGCCGAAAACATTGAGACTCATGTTTCTCATATACCATTTGCTTCTACATTACCCAAAGCCTTCCAGCTTAGGACTACAAGACAATATTTTTTTAAAACTCATAACTATGAGGTCCCATTATTTTAGCTCTTTTTTTAAAAAGGTTTTTGCCTTAGTGCATGGGCACTCACCAGAGAGAGACAGAGAAAGGTAGAAAGAAAATGAGAAATCACTCCCTGAGGGCGTGGCCACGCTGCAATCCCTTCTCCTCCACTCTTCTCCCGGGATCTTTGGCACACATACACATGCACCTGACATGATTTTGAAACCACCAGGTCCAGGACTCAAACCACAGCTGACCATGTGGGAGTCCAGTGACATAACCACTATGCCACCTGTTGGCTCCTATTTTAGTTCTTAACTCAGTTTCCCAAGTAACAGATGTCAACAGTGATTCAATATTTAAACTAGTTTGAGCACCAGCAACGGTTACATTTCACATAGAATTCATGAAGACACTTTTCGCATTATGTTCTGATTTTCCAGACTGCAAATCTGGTTTTCCTACCTAGGTTACAAGTGATTTTTTAGCAACCCCAATCAATATTCCTTGGTATTTCTTAAACTGAAATTAAACCATATTAATATTAAAACCCAAAGTTCTTGTCAAAGCTAAAAAAATCAGGGAACCAGCAGTTAACGTAATGGCTATGTCACTGGACTCCCACATAGTCGACCGCGGTTTGCGTCCCAGACCCGGTGGCTTAAAACTCACGCTGGGCGCGTGTGCTTGCGTGCCCAAGATCCCAACAGGAGAGTGGAGGAGAAGGGATTGCAATGTGACCATCCCCCCTGGGGGGTGATTTCTTGCTTTCTGTCTCTATGTCTCTGTCTGTCTGTCTGGAGAGCACACGCACCCTGTAAAAGAAAGGAATGTGCAGGGAGACCTTAGGACACGAGCCTGGGACCTTGCCATATGGCTTCAGTGGAGTTAGGTATTGCATTACTGCTGCATCATTGGGGCTGTGTGAATTTCCCAAACACAACAGATATTTGGATTACTCTGACAGATTCTATTAAATTCTGACCTTATTTTTATAATAACATTTTAACAATTTCAATAATATTAGGTCATCAGAAAAGTCATGACATATTTTTAATGCTGTTCTATGCAAAAATGTGTCATGACTTTTCTGATGACCCAATATTAGACCAGAAGTCTTGGTATTTGAGGGAGGGGAATTGGGGCTGATAACAGAATAAGCTGGTGTTCTTCCGAAGTCCCCATCCACACATCCTTTTTTGAATGGAAATAGGCCAGTCAGCTAAATATTCTCACTGCACAGAAGAACATTCAGAGTCCTTGGTCCAGACCCAGGGATGAGGCTGGTAACTCTAGGTTCATATTTAGACACAAGCTCTATAATTAGGAACAGAGACCAAGACTGACCTGAGGCCAGCAGAAACCATTATTGGTCTTACAGAGAAAAGTTATAAGCCAGAATCCAAATTGAATGAATAGTATCAGAGAAGATGGACATGAAAGATATGTAAAACGCAAGAACCAAGGGTTTGGAAAGAGAAAAAAGGATATGCCAAAGTAACGATGGAATACACCACCTTGTTTTTGGCTGGCTTAGTCTTGGCTTGTAATTTTTTAATTGCCAGCAGGAAAGCGAGATTACCAGAGAAGAATGAAGAGTTGATGGGGCAGAGGAGAAAGCACCCTAGTGGGGCATGGTGACACTGCAATCTCTTCTCCATTTCTCCATCCTGTCAGGATCTTGGGCATGCATGCACACATACCTGACATGTTTTT